TATAATAAAACAAAACAACCACACACATACATACAAGTACACAAACACAATATTTGTTAACAACAACAACAGCAAACAAACTGTATTGAATAAATAAATAAATAGAAAAATGTTAAATTTTAAGTTTAAAGAAAAATGGAAATAAAAAACTCAAATAGTAACAAAAAACAAGACATATACAAACAAACATACATATGTGTTAAAGTAAACAACAAATGTAATTGTTTTTAAAAATCCCCACACGCAAAAAATAGTATATACAAAAATCAGTATTATACAAATTGTCATAAATATGTAATACTCCAACACTTGAGATTTAGTAAAACAACACTCACACACACCCAAATATTAATTATAATATATAAAAACCTAATTGTTTAATTTTCAACAAACTACACATATTCACACAACATTATTAACTAACTATCTTACAACAACAATTAAACCAAACGAAGCAGAAGAAGAAGACGACGAAAAACAACAACAAAATAAAAACAAAAAAACAAATTATATTAACAATTAATGACATTTTAAAGAACAACTATTTAAAAAACAAGAAGAAGAAATAATAAAAAAATCATTATTAAAACATAATTCAAACAGTTTTGGTGTGTATGTGTGTCTTATTAACAACTAGGATAAGTATTAACAAATGTGGAGATTTATTTATTAAAAAGAAGGTCCTATAGAAATTTTTCCATTTACGGACGGGGCCGGCCATGTAATACCCTACTTTAACTATCTGCGATTCTATAAACCTACCTGAAAGAGTTGCATTCTGCAGGTATTTTGTATAACTTCATGAGGTCTTCTTTAGATTGCAACACTTGAGACCTTATGGAGGTCTACTGCCTTTAAATATTTTTCGTAGGGGAAAAATGTCCTTCGTGAAATCATCCCTTGGAGCATCTCTATTTATCACGTGAAACTGTTAGAGGTCTGCACTGGATTACAGATTATAAATATACATCAAGAAGTCTTCTAGAGGTATAGGATTCTCCATGGAAATCACATGCTAGAAAGAAAGCAGAGGCGTAGTTAAATTTTTCAAAGGGCCCTTAATAAATTATATAAGATCTTCTACAGATCTTCCACAGAAAAAAGTCCTTCTATAGGAAAAAGAACATGTCAGCGTATAAGACTTGATTTTTAGAGAATATTTACTGAAGAAGCTGTCAGGATATAAGCGTAGATTTTCAAAAAAATATTTTCTCAAAGACCTGTCAAGATGTAGGCGTGGATTTCTAAAAAATATTTTCTCAATGACCTTCCAACAAATAGGCGTGGATTTTTAAAGAATATTTTCTCAAGGACCTACCAACAAATAGGCGTGGATTTTTAAATAATTTTTTTCTCAAAGTCCCACCAACAAATAGGCGTGGATTTTTATAGAATATTTTCTCAGGTTTTTTAAAGAATATTTTCTTGAGGTCCCACCAACAAACAGGCGTGGATTTTTAAAGAATATTTTCTCAGGCTTTTTAAAGAATATTTTCTCAGGGTTTTTAAAGAATATTTTCTCAAAGGCCCTATCAACAAAGGCCAAAGGACCTATCAACAAATTTCTAAAAATTATTTTCCCAAGGATCTGCCAAGATATCTACTTGGATTTTTAAAGAACATTTTCTCAAAAATAGGTCAGGATATAAGCCTGGATTTTTAAAGAATATTTTCTCTAGAATAGGTCAGGATATAAGTATGGATTTTTAAAGAATATTTTTACAAGAATAGGACCAAAATTTTCTCAAGGACCTACCAACAAATAGGCTTGGATTTTTAAAGAATATTTTCTCAATGATCTACCAACAAATAGGCATGGATAAATTGTCCTTCGTGAAATCATATTTTGATGGATTTTTTATGAAGTGGAACATCTAGAGGTCTGCATTCGATTACAGATTATGGAGGTCTTCTAGAGGTATATGATTTTCCAGGGGCTCTCGAGCTATTCTTTAGATTGAAGCCCTTCTATATATCTTTTATTTAGAAAGTTAATAACGATGCGATATATGATATGTATGGACGAAGTTCTAATCACGTCCATATATAGAGACTATACCGGGCTCTACAATTTCAATAGGTGTGTTTTTAAAGAAAAACTGCATCTTTTAATGGATTTTTTGTATCAAGGGTAACTTCTAGTCGATTACAGATGATAGATATGCATCCAGAGGCCTTCTAGAATCTAAAGGTCTTTTTACGACCCTGAAAAAAATCTTCTATATTTATTTATTATTTTCTATATTTTTTTATTATTTTCCCATATAACCCATGTTAACTGTTTAAAATTAAACGTTTTACTGGGACTAGGTTAACACTTGCCGCAGCTCATCGAGAACATATTTTGTATGCGACACTTTGTTGCAAAAAATACATTTTTATAGTCTGAGCGATAATAAAACTTGTTAGAAATACGAACAGAAAACACATAATTGGCGGCAACGAATTTTCGATACCCTTCTACATTTTTTCTCATTTAGGTAGTCAAACTTTAGAAGCTTGGAAATATTTTCCACACACATAATCTTAAACTATGATTAACAATATTATGTGTTTAACTAGAAACTTGATCTATCGTAATAGTAATATTTACAATTGGGCGCCATTTTTAGTTCTTTATTATTTCTTATATGCAACTAAAATTTCTTCTCTTGTAGAGTATTCGTGTTCATAACCATTGTCCACACTCTTGTTTCGACAATGAGAACAAGGAAACAATTTAAAATTTATTTGACTAGCAACTTCCCTTCCCTCTCAACAAACTAAATTTAAGAACTTTCCTTGCGTGCCCTGTGGCAATTTATTAGCATTTATAACGTTAACGCTAGTTTACTCTTTTTTGTTGTTGTGTTGAATTCATTCATAAAAATGTAAACAAGCTTGTGATAGAGTGAACCCTGAAAAGATTTGGCGAACTGACCTAGTAAATTTAAACATTTTGTGGACTTGGCAGCATTTAATTTGATGGAGGCAGGCAATGGTTATAAACGTTAATAGTTCACAGATAACAATGACAAATGGAATATTTTTTGAAATAGAATGTCAGATGTTATGTACACGTTTAACGCCCCGGCTCATTGAAACTGGGAATGACATGCTAGATGCAAAGCAGAGGCGTAGGACAAAATAGAAACAGGAATATTTACTCAGGGAACCTCTGGGAAAGAAATGGGGAATATTTTTTCAGAGACCCATTGAGAGAAACACGAATTTTCAAGGAATATATATTTTCAAGGACACTCTGAGATATAAGCGCGGATTTCTAAAGAATATTTTATCAAGGACCTACCAAATGCTGGGCGTGAATTTTTAAAGAATATTTGCTCAAGGACCTATTAAATACTAGGCGTGTTTTTCTAATGAATATTTTGTCAAGGACCTGCCAAGATGTATGCGTGGATTGGTAAAGAACATTTTCTTTATCAATCCACGGAAATGTAGGTATGGATTTCTAAAGAATATTTTTTAGCCCAGGACCTGCCTAGATATGGACGTGAGATTTGATTTCTAAAGAATATTTTCTCAAGGATAGGCCAGGATGTAGGCGTGGATTTCTAAAAAATATTTTCTCAAGGACCTGCCAAGGTGTATGCGTGGATTGGTAAAGAACATTTTCTCAAGGACCTGCCGAGATGTAGGGGTAGATTTCTAACGAAAATTTTCTCGAGGACCTGCCGAGATGTTGGCGTTGATTTCTAAAGAGTATTTTCTCAAGGATAGTCATTGATGTAGGCGTGGATTTCTAAAGAATATTTTCTCAAGGATAGGCCAGGATGTAGGCGTGGATTTCTAAAGAATATTTTCTCAAGGATAGGCCAGGATGTAGGCTGGATTTCTAAAGAATGTTTTCTCAAGGATAGGTCAGGATGTAGGCGTGGATTTCTAAAGAATATTTTCTCACGGATAGGGCAGGATGTAGGCGTGGATTTTTAAAGAATATTTTTAAGGCCCGGATGTAGGCTGGATTTCTAAAGAATATTTTTTCAGGGATAGGCCAGGATGTAGGCGTGAATTTCTAAAGAATATAGGCCCGGATGTAGGCCAGGATAAGGCGTAATTTTAAAGAATATTTTCTCAATGATAGGCCAGGATGTAGGCGCGGATTTCTAAAGAATATTTTATAAGGATAGGCCAGGATGTAAACGCGGATTTCTAAAGAATATTTTCTAAGGATGGGCTAGGATGTAGGCGCGGATTTCTAAAGAATTTTGCCTAAAGAATGGAATTTTAATCAATATTTTCTCAAGGATAGGCCAGGATGTAGGCATGAAAGTTTTATCAATATTTTCTCAAGGATATGTCAATAAATAGGCGTGGAATTTGAATTAATATTTACTCAAGGATCTGTCAAGATATAAGCCTTGACATTTAAAGAATATTTTATCAAGAATATTTCAAGATATAAGCCTGGATTTTCAAAAAAATTTTGAAAAAAATATTTTTTAAGAATCAAGTATAGATCAGGATATAAACCTGGAATTTTAAAGAATATTTTCTCAAGAATAGGTCAGGATATAAGGCTGAATTTTTCAATTATATGTTTCAGGAATAGTCCAAGATATGAGCACAGGTTTTAAAAACAAATTTTCAAGATTTTTGAAGAATATTTATCAAGACCCTGTCAAAATAACTGGCAATGGTTGGAGATTTTAAAATCATCCAGATATAGAACATCATATAAGTATCCTCCCTCTAAATCTCTCACACCCTTCCTCTCTTCTCCGCCTTTCGATTTCTTTCTCATTTTCCTAAATCATCGCACCCCATAATATTATCCACTCGATATCATAACATCTGCATGTAATTAAATACTTACAAATTAATTGTAAATAAACCAAAAACCGATTTTGTTTATGGCTTGTTTGACAAAGTTTTCACATTCCAATGGCTAGCTGGCTGGCTGTCGGACATTTGCAGGACAAACGAGTGCTAAACGTTTGCACAAATCAGTTGTTCATCAGCCGGGTAACATCGAAACATAGCGCAACTACGACAACGAAATGGCTCTCAACAGCACCATAGCTCTGCTAATGCTGTCTTCGACCGCATCCACTACGATTTCCAATGAAACGGGAGCCTTTCCACAATTGGTGAATAGCAGTTTCCTCATTGACGTTGTCAGCAGCATCCATGACCTGTATAATTTCCATAATTTCGTATTCTACATATCGGAACGTTTGGCCATGGATACGGATACGGCAGCGGACTTTTTTCAAAATTTTTGGGATACTTTTCCGACAGTGCCGCTGATTGTTATGATAAATAATTCACATGTGATGGATGGATTTTTGAGTACCCCATCGCTGTGTTTAGTTCTGACCACGGAACGTGATGATCCTATCATGGAAGTGGCAGCCTATAGCTTGAAAGGAATACGTCATTTTAAGACAATTTTTGTCCTGTTTCCCATTGAGGAGAATGATGATTTTTATCAGAGCTTCGAAGACTATAATCGATTTCATGAAACCATACGCGTGCTTTACGATTGGGTGTGGATGAAACAGTTCATTAATACGGCACTGATTACGGTGCGGAATAATGTTTTCATACTAGATCCATATCCAACACCCACCTTGGTGAATATTACGGAAACTTGGAATCCGGAGAGTTTTTTTGTGAATTATAGTGGAGATTTTAAGGGTTATGTGATAAATACCCCTATACGTTATGATCTCCCGAGGGTCTTCTATATGAGTCGTCCTCGTATTGGGGCCAGGACGAAACATCAGGTAACTGGAGTGTCGGGGAAAATTTTTACCGCTTTTGTACATTCCATCAACGCCACCTTTAATGAGACCTTGACAGATGGTCAGGAAACGGAAGCGGTGGATATTAACAACGTCATTAAAATGGTCGAAGAAAAACATTTGGAGATAAGCATGCATTCCTACACCGGCATGATTGGAGCTGGTGGGGGTAGTAGTTATCCGATTGGCATCAATGATTGGTGTATAATGGTACCATATCGTAATCGTTCACCCGAACACATGTATCTGCAGAATGCCTTTCAAGAACACACCTGGTTGCTGTTGACTTTTAGTATTTTCTATATTACCATTGGCATATGGCTGTGCACGCCATCGAAGTCACGGGATTTGAGTTTGTCATTTTTGCAAGCCATCTGTTCCACCATACTCATCGTGCCCCTGAGAATCCTTGTGCTACCCACTGGTCATATGCGTTTCTTATTTATTCTGCTGTTCCTTATGGGTTTCTTCATTACCAATTTGTATAATTCGAAATTGACCAGTTTCCTGACCACCACCACGGAGCAGCCACAAATCAATACGGTACAGGATGTCATTGATGCCGGTTTGAAAATTATGATCATGGATTATGAATATGACATTGTGGCATCGAATAATTATCCTCAACGATTTATGGATCTGGTGATGACGGTGAGTAAACCCGTAATGGATGAGCATCGTGATAGTTTCAACAGCAGTTATGGCTACAGTGTTCCATCGGATCGTTGGAATTTTCTAGATATACAACAACGTTATTTGAGGAAACCATTATTTCGTTTGTCGAAAATTTGTTTGGGGCCTTATTATCATGTTTTCCCCTTGCAGCGAGATTCTCATCTGGCTTCTCCTCTGCAGTCGTTCATTATGTTCGCTTCGCAATTGGGTTTGATAAAATTTTGGAAAAATGAAGCCTTTGCCGATGCCCTCTATTTGGGTTATGTTCGCATGATTCTGATCGATGAAACTTTAATGCCTCTGAGTACCAGCTTCTTTCGTTTCATTTGGTATGTCTGGTGGTTGGGTTTAATGTTGAGTGGTTTCGTATTTTGCCTGGAAATGAAGAGAATAACGTGGCAGAGGGTGAGGGATGTTTGGATGAAATTTTATCGTAAATTATCGGAAGATGTTTATGAAGTGGAATAGCAACAAAAAATAAAATGTGGAATGAAATATTTGAGAATTTTTAAATTTTTTGTTGTATTTGAATTTGGATTTTTCTGGGAAGATTACGAGCTTCTTTTAAGTATATCTTTACGAAGCACCTGAGATTGAAAAATGTACTGGCCTTTCATAGAATGTGTTCTATTTATGGAAGGCTTCTAAAAGGATTTCTGGCCACAGAAAATGTATTCTATCTGTAGAAATACAACCTTCAATTTATGTCGGGAAACCATATTGTAAGTACGCTCTACAGGTATCTATACGTAAAATACCTTTTATGATTTTTATCATGAACAGATGAGGTTTTCTAAAAACAGGGTGACCTACTAGAGGTATTTTATAGACCGGAGGCCTACAAGTATTTAATAAAAGAACACCTCTTTCTATCGACAGTAGCTCTTTTCCAATTCTTTTACAGACATTCTTCAGGTCTGCTTTATAAATGTACCATCTATCGACAAGTAACATTCAAGAGATTTTCCATATACCTATGGACCTTCTATCGACATTGAACCTTAAACACATCTATGCAGGTAGCCTTCAACAGATCCTCTATGCACAATTTAGCTTTAGAGGGCATTCTATAGTCAGACGACTTCCAACACCATTTTTTTCTAGATTTTCTATAATTGAAAAGATTTTGCAGGGCTTTTACAGAAGTCTTTGTTCAAGTCTTCTATAGAAAAAAGTTACCTTATATAGAATGCAGACAGGTTTTTTATGCGCAGTATGCCATCTAGAGACATTATATAGATAGAAGAACATTAAATATTCTATGAAGAGAAACGTATCTTTAGACAAAAAGCCTCCTATTAAAAAATCAAAAAGAAGACAATCTATGGACTGGACATCGCCTAGAGGCATTCTATAGACATCAGACATTGACAAAAAATCTTCTATAGAAAAGAGGCATCCGTTATAAAAATATGTTTTTCTATATACAGAAAACTTCTGTAGTCCATCCTGTTCATTTATAGAACGGCATAGGTATTCTATATAAATTAATCCTATAGGTCTTGTAGGACAGAAGGCATTCAGGAGGTCTTCTATATACAGAAAGCTTCTCCAGATAGAAGAAATTTAAAATTGAGACATTTATAGATCTTCTATAAAAATACCATTCATAGATACTCTACAGAAAATGCAATTTTCTTTAGGTTTTCTATAGAAAAGAAGAATATAAAAGTTCCCTCGAGGGGATGTCTTTTAGTCTTCTGGAGGCTTGCGACCTTCCGCAATTCATTTATAAAAAAAGAGATCCCATAGGTATTTTATGGGTAGAAGACCTCCATCAGGTCTTCTATAAGCTGAAGAGCTCTTCCAAATGTAATAGAAAACCTATAAAAAAATACCTATAAACATCTTCAGGTCAGACAGGTCTTCTATAAAACAAATCCTATAAGTCTTTTATAGATAGACAATCATCTTCAGATTTTCTGTAGAAAATAAGAATCCTGTGTGCGAAGATATCTCTCTTGTCTTCTGCATATCAATAATCATTTTATAGACAAAAGGCTTCTGCAGAATTTCGCTAAAAAGAAGATAATCTAAAACCGGGAACCTCTTGTCGGCCTTCCGCAAAGAAGAATTTCTAGATATCCCAAAAGCCTTCTACAGTCAGCATACCTCTACTAGATCTACTCTAAAAGAAGATCTTCTTGAGACGTTATACAGAACAAAATCAATAAAAGCCAAACCCTTATAGTGTTTTATAAAAAGTAAATCCTATATATAAAAAACTTCTCTATTATACAGAAAAGACGCTCAGCGGGTCATTTATAAAAAGAAATTTCAGGATTTCTCTAGAAAAAATAAATATTTGTGTAAATCTTCTTCTTAAGTCTTCTATATAGTGGACCCTCAGTAAACGCTGTACATAATGTTTTCCATACGCCTTCTAAAGATTTTAACTTCAAGAAGGTCTTCTGTCGCCAAAATTTTCCATATTGAAATTTCAAAAATTCCTGAAGGTATTGCCAATTTATGGAGGAAGTATAAGGCAAGGGTGGCAAGGCTTCTCAAGCCCGGAAAGAGACCTCCCATTCTTGCTTTGAAATATCCTTTTCGATTTTTTACATAAATTTTTTAGCTTAGGTCTTTCAATAAATGTATGCCTAGTAAAATATTTTATGAGTATTTAACAGACCACAGAAATTAGCCTTAATAGAAGAGTCGAATAGACTTACCAATATTATATCCTGCGAAACATATTCAACTTTTTTCCTAAAGAAATTAGAAAATCCTCACTTCCTCCTCCAAATAATCCAAGTCAATATTTTCCAATCTTAGCCCAACAACAACAACAACACCGCAATGACCACTTGACACCAAAAGTGATTTATAAACTGTAAACGGAATTTTGTTTATAAACATTTATTAGCCATTAAGGCAGGTGTGTGCTACCTTTATTTTTTTTCCATTGTCAGCACCTTTGCAACATTGTAAGCGACAAAATTTGCAACCCGGTTATTAAAAACTTCAACACACAAATTAAATAATTAGATAATTAAAGGGTTTGGGCGCGCGCACACGCACACACTCACTCAACCACATCAAAAAAAATCCCGCAAGCAACAAAAATTGGGAAAAAGGATTTTGCAAAAACACAACAACATTAGCGGATACAACTACAACGCGGAAAGTGATACATTTAACGAATATGCTATTAAATGGTACAATCGGCCTATTGCTGCTCATAACGGGGAATTTCATGGATCTAACCAAGAAAAATAGAATTCATAAGGAAATCGGAAAAATGAATTGCAACTTAACATTGGAAATTGTAAACGATTTAAATAATCTGAATCCAATGACGAATATTATCTTCTTCATATCACCAAATTTGGCAACAGATTGGGGGCGCAGTGTGACCCGGGAATTTTTCATCGGCTTTTGGCAAAATCTGCCACAAACTCCAAGGACCATAAAAATTAGTAATAAACAAAGTTTAAAAGGATTTGTGAGTGTGCCCTCAATGTGTTTGGTGCTGACGACCGGGGGAGAAGACAGCATTATGGAAACTGCAGCCAGGGGCTTGAAGGGAATACGTTTTATCCCGACAATATTTGTGTTATTTCCAATTCTGGAAACCATGGATGATAGGCAGACAATTGAAGAGATTTTTTCATGGGCATGGAAAAAACAATTCCTCAACGCCTTGCTGATAACCATGCGTGATAATATTTTCATATATGATCCCTATCCCCAGCCAAGGGTTGTGAATATAACCGGCAAATGGTCAGCAAATAATTTTATGAATGAGGAAAATCGTCGCGATTTTAAAGGTTATGTTATACACACCCCCGTGCAGCAGGATTTACCCAGAGTTTTTTATATGAAACGGCCGAATACAACAACTCTCAGTGGCATATCGGGAAATTTAATGGCAGCTTATTTGCAATCCGTTAATGCCACTCTGAATGACACTGCGGCGGAAAATGGCAGACAAGGCATACCCGGAGAACCGACAAATATATTTGATCTCATAGAGCTGGTGGGTAATAAGACCCTGGAAATCAGTGTCAATTCGTATACGGCCATGTTGAAAACCCTGTCGGGAATTAGCTACCCTATTGGTATCAATGATTGGTGTCTGATGGTCCCATATCAGAATCGGACCCCAGCATATAAATTCTTACGGAAAAGTTTTCAACCCTCAACCTGGTTACTGATTGGAATTACATGTCTCTACATTACCGTGGGAATATGGTTATGTTCTCCCTTACAACACCGGGATCTTAGTGTATCCTTTTTACAAGCTATCTGTTCCGTACTGCTTATCCCCCCATTGAAGATACTACAACTTCGTGTGTGGAGGATTCGATTATTTTTCATTTTACTCTTTATATTTGGTTTCCTCATCACCAATATGTATCTAACGAAAATGGCCAGCTTTCTAACGGCCTTTACGGAACCCCGCCAACTTGATAGCATTGAAGATATCATTTCCGCCCAACTACCCATTATGGTCATGGATTATGAATATGAGGTTCTACTGGAATATAATTTCTCGCCAAAATTTATGGATCTAATATTGATTGTGAACAAATCTCAAATGGATGAACATCGTGATCGTTTGAACACCAGCTATGGCTATAGCAGTCAAACCGATCGTTGGCAATTTCTCGATATACAACAACGTTTTCTCAAGAAGCCCCTGTTTCGCCTATCGAAAATTTGTATCGGGCCTTTCCATCATGTCTTTCCCGTGCAAAAAGATTCTCATCTAATACGGACTTTACATAATTTTATACTCCTCTCTTCGGATATGGGTCTACTCGATCACTGGGTAAAGGAATCATTTGCGGATGCTTTATTTTTAGGTTATGTTAAAATGTTTAAACTTGAAGATCCTCCCATACCGTTGGATTTGAATTTTTTCATTTCCATTTGGGAGATATGGCTGATCGGTGTGGCTTTAAGTTCGTTGATATTTATTTGTGAATTGAAGTGGATTGTGTTGTGTAAAATTTTTAAGAGAATTTGTATTTATTTAAAGAAATTGAAGAATAAAATATTTGAAATTTAATAAAAGAAAAGAAAATTGTTTTAATTTGAAGAAAAATCTCAGGAAGATGGGTAAATAAAAAAAAACTAATAAAACATATTTTATGAACATATAAAAGGCTATTAATTCTAAAAAAGCTCTGCTAGGACATTAGCAGACACTCAATGATATAATCCTTCTCCTGCTAGGAGCCCAAAAACATCTCAGCCAATTGAGTATTCAATTCACATAAAAAATCTGAATACCTCCAATTTTTTTTTTAATTCCCTTCCTAAACTTTCAATATCATGGCCTTACATCCAGCTAGCCAACTGGCCAATCCTGCTATTAGAAAACCCCTCCCACAAGCAAAAAAATACGCAGATAATTGAAATAAACATTTATCCCAGAACTGGGGCTTTTGTCATAGTCACTTTTCGGCAGGCCTTCTTATGGGCTCTCCTTCTATTCGCATAGACATTGTCCTGCCTTATTT